CCCGCGGCCCCCGCCCCGGCCCGGCCCCCGCCACTCCCGCCTGGAGGCAGCTTCCCCTTTTCGCCCTCTTCGGCTACCCTTTGCCCCTTCCCGCCCTTTCCCGCCGGTTTCGGGGCCCCAGTCTCGCCGGCGGCCTCTTCGGCTCCGCTCCCGGTTCCTCCTGCATCCCCGGCGCCTCGGCCTGACTCCACCGCGCCCTCGGGCCGGGGGAGTAACTCGAAGGCGCACTTTTCTGGCTGGAGACCCCGGGCGGGCGAAGCCGGGGCCCTGGACAGCTCCCCACTGTCCGAGGCCCGCAAGTCCCGGTTCTGCCCTCGCGAGCGATCCACACTGGCTGGAAAGAACCGCCGCGCTTTTCAGCCCGCGCCCCGAGAGCGTGGAGCGGGGGCGCGTCGAGAGGGGTGGCTGTTTTGTCCGGGCTCCGATTGTTTCAGCCCCGTCTCTTTTTGCGTCTTCCGGAGTTGCTGGACAGGGTTTTCGTTCCCGTACCCCACGCTTCCTGGGGGGCTGGGCAGGTTTCTAACTCTTCAACATTGTGATGACACCCTTACGTGCGGGGCCTTTGTTGATCGTTTTCGGGTGTTTCCAGGGTCCTGGATCGAAATTTGGACCTAGGCTTGAGATTAAGGAGTTTTGGGTTAAAACTACAAGACATAAATGGGTGGTGACACCTGTCATTCGCCGGCAGTCAGGGAGAGCCAGGGATTGGCGCTTTGATGGGCAAAAGGGTAATTTGTCATTTTTGAAAAACTGGGGGAAATCCAGGCAAAGTTAAACTGTCTCGTGATTTAAATCACGCCCAATAGGCCTTTAAGAGCTTGATCTCTGTGCAGTGCTGTTCTTCAAGAAGTCAGTGGAGCTCAGACAGCAAGAATAGTTCCCACACATTTAATATTAATGAAGAAGGGTAAATCGCTCATTTGTTTCCTGAAGTTAGTTGTGCAGCTCTTGGAGTGAATGGGAATCAGGGAATGCAGAGTAGCATAAGAGCCTCTGGTAATTAGAAATACGCCCCAGTTTTGCTCTTAAGGCCATGCTGAGACTCACCTTTGCTCGGAGTTGATAAAACTGTGGAAGAACGTTAGTAATCAAAATGCCGAGAGTCAGAAAATAGTTTAGATGGAATGAAGTTCCAGCTAAACTGAAGTTTTGGCCTATAGCCAATTTTTATTTTGGGCTTTTAAATGATAGTTCTTTTTAGTCAACAAGAATGTTAGCCAAGCTTGTTTTAACGTCTAGAGTGGTCACCTGCAGTGCTATTAAGTTGGCACTGTGTAATTAGGAGTTCCATATCGGGGTGCAGAGCTTCTCAGCACAGTGTTAGGGCCGGAATGAGAGTCCAGTCCTTACAGTGGTGGGGTTCAAGTTGCTGCTTATATCCTCAGCAGCATCCTCCAGTCTAATGCTAAAGCGCATGGCAGGAATTCTGTAAATATTTGTGGAAGGAAGAAAAGCCTGCTTATAGAATTCAGTAGTGTATATTTATGCCTACTGATTTCCAGGAAAGCCTGAAGAGAGTGTGTATGGGTTCTTCAGGATTAGGGGGAGTGGCTCCGGTGATTTCACCCTGAGGGTCAATAGTCATAAAGTTATTGAGGAAAAGTACAGTCAAACTTTAGTTCTGCCAGCAGGAAGAATTTGTTCATGACCTGTGATAGCACCCTTTTAGATGCAGTGGATCTTCAAAAATAATAGACTGTTATCTTTGCTTAACCTCTCCCAGGTATATAAGGTATTATTGTATGTCCAGGGAAGATTCTTCTCCAGATCCAGAGACCAGTGAAATATGGAATTCATAATGTTTCCTCAAGTTCATGTACTAGTTAAATAAACCAGTACATGGCCATGTAAATTTTTTTCTTAAAAAACTTGAGGTAAAAGCTAACAATACCTGAGACTATTTTCAAAGACATCTGCCTAAAGTACTTTCTTCTACACATAAATAAGGGCAACAAATGGTTTTGAGTTCTTGCTTCTCTTTTCTGCCACTGATACCAATATTATGACACCCTAACCTTTGGAATATTAGAGATCTCACAATAACATCAAACCCACCCCTGAGAAATGAGCAGATACGGAACCAGAGAGGATCCAAGAGTCCACAGAGAGGCACTGCTCCCTCCGAGAGTGCTTGGGGTTCAGGTTGGGGGGATGGGGTTAGGGGTAGCAAGTTAGAAATAAGTAAGAGGTGAATCCTTTGCTTCAAAAACTTTACATTTTCTATTTTTTGTTTTAATTTTTTCTTTTTGATGCCCTGTGATATTTTCATAAGTACTGGTTTATTTTTTTGTCAAGATTTGGTATTAATTATCCTACATAGAAAAATAATTGGGGACAATAGAGTCAGAATTCATTAACATTTTTCTGCTGTGGTTCTTGTTGCTTTGGTCAGTCTCTCTACCCACTCCTCCCACCTCATTTTTGGTTTAAATATAAAAAATAATTATAAAACTTGGGGTGGAAGAAATAGAGAACTTTAATTAATCAAGTTTAAAGTGATGAAGTGAAGATCATTTAAAGGTTTAACTGTAGAGTAATAATTTATATATTCTGGCTCTTTGGTCTGTTTAGCTTAAGTGAAATAGATCAGCGTTATAGGTAACTTGTGGAAATCATCTGTAATCAGTGAAACATGTTTGTAATCTTGTTCTCTGAAAACATGTCTTCTTGAATCTGATAATGCTTTTTAGAGAAATGCGCTCATGTGTCATGAAGTTAAACTTAGCTGGAAACTTTAGGGTTGGACAGATATTCAGTAGCCTTTTAAAGAATCAGAACGGGGTATGTTATGGTCCCACCCCCCAGCCCCTCTTTTTCTGACGGGAAGATCATCTGTTTATAGGTCTCTAGACCTCTACAACTGGATAGGACCCTTCTTCCCCCTTGTTAAAAAGTATTTATATTTCAATGTTAATTTTAGGCCATCAGGTGTCCCACTGCGTAATACTATATTGGCAGCAAATACTTGTACAGTTTAAATTCCACTATAATACACATTTTTCGGTATTATTTGTCTCTTTTTAAGAAATAAAACCTACAGCCTCCTAATCATCAGCACTAAAACTTCCATTTAGAAAAGAAATTTGCTGTTTTGCTTCTTCCCACCCCACCCCCAACAAGCAGTAATAGAAGTAGGAATATAGATTTCAATAGCAGGTCTACTTTTGAACCTACCTGTTTTCACTTTCCTCATTTTATCTTATTTTTCAGTATTAACGGGAACATCCATAGTAGTGTGTAAAAGCTTTCACAATGAAATCCGAAGCCAAGGATGGAGAAGAGGAGAGTCTACAAACTGCTTTCAAGAAATTAAGAGTAGATGCATCAGGGTAATAAATATGTAACATATTATTTGGAAATTGTTTACCAGATTTAAAAAGCCCTTTCTTCTGACGAGCTCTTTGTCTTCTGAAATCTGTTATTATTCTTAGTACATATTAATGCTAATAATATGGCATCCTGCTAAATTCATTATAGCATTGTTTTACTTGTAAAAGAAATGCTTCTGTTAAATTTTGAAAAGTAGCAACTCATTTGTACTCCAGGGAAGCAGTGTCCCATCAGGGGTTCCTTACATATCTTTAGGGAATTACCGTATTTTTCACTAAAAGTGAATTGGCTCAATAGAAATCTATGCAGACATTGTTGATTTCATGGGCTCTGATTGCTGAGCTTATCACTATGGAAACCTATTCATTAGGGTTCTGTTACAGAGATCAATAATCTTGAACCCTTTGGCCAAACTAATTAGAGCACCTGCAGACCAGCTGCTGTCTGAATGTTAATATTTTACCCTTTGTAAAATGTTGCGTGCAGGATTCTTCTCACTATTCTTTACCCCAAACCAGAAGAAATTTTTAATGGTTTTAGGTATATCTGTTTTCCTGAGTGGCAAATAAACACTGGAAGCTCAGAGTAGGACACTTCAAACCAAGGAATAATGATCCTTAAAATGAATTGCTTATAATTCTTTAAACTGTGGTTTACCTGCTCCCTATACATTATTTAATCCTCACTACTAACTTTGAAGGTATGTACCACTGTTATTCCAGCTTACAGGTGATCCCTAGGTTAATTAAGTTACTTGCTAAACATCACATTGATAAGAAGTGGGAGAGTCAGGATTTGAACCCAGATAACTGGTCTCTCTAAAACTTGAGCTCTTAACCTTCTTTCTCTGTGTGGCACTTTGAAGAAATGCATGCATACCTAGTGAAAACTAAATGGATGCGAGTTGTTTATATAGCTGCCTGCTTATTCTAGTACTGTTTTGGCCAGAGGTATTAGCCTAACCGGTTCATACAGTCACTCTAACAGGTGCTCATATTTGCTTGCATGATGTTTCGAGCAAGTTTCTTTATCCTTTCAGTGATTTTTTCTGATATGGTCGTCTCATCATTAAAATTGATCAGTGCTTTATACACCATTTGGGAAATGGAAACACGTCGGTCCATATTGTGGTCATAGGATATTCCTTTGTGATTTCTGGTATAGAAATAAAATTCTTTGAAATTGGAATATGTACAAACATATAAATCCCACAGTGTAAAAATTCATATAAATAACATTTGATTTACAGACTTTTTTCCTGGATTTTTAAGAAGTTGGAACATAAAATTAAGCCATTTCAATATCCCTAAGGATGACTTGGAACATTAAAGCTTTCAAAATACCTATAACATGTGGTTGAATTTATAGTATAATTGTAAACATATAATGTGCCTTAAATAAGATGATATAAAAAGAAGAGGTAGTAGAGAACATTTGTCAAAACCAAATTCGAGTAGAAGGGTGAGTCACTGGCATGACTAAGGGGAAAAAGACTTGTGTGGTGTCTCATATATTTCTAGTTGTTTCATACTGTTGCTGATTTACAAATGGGACATCTGAGGTACTGACTCATAAACTAAACAAGCCTTGGTAGGAATTTAGTATGGTCCTGTTGAACAGGTTTTGAATCATAATGGTATTTGTCTTATCAGGATAAATCTCTGTATAAAAAACATAATCTTACTTATTTGACTAAAAAGTAATGCATGCTTACCATTGAAGAATTCACAGAAACAAAGTAAAAATCACAGTTTTTTAACTATAACTACTGATAATTATTAACATTCTTTACATAGCACTGTATTTTTTACATAATCGCAAACATAATGTGTATAGAAGTGAAGTATTCCTGCTGCCATGCCACTAAAAGTTCTTTACATGCTAATTTTTAGTAATTTCCTAATTTTCCATTGTATAGGTGTGCCATATTTTATATAATTCAGTATCTCTATTATTAGACACTGTTTATTTCTAGTTATCTTTTATTTTAAATTACATCTTTTAACTTTAGATTAATGTCTGTAAAAGATTTTTCAGTGCCATAGCATGCATAACAGGAGCCCAAGTGTGTGTGTGTGTTTTGAAAAGGCCTGGAGAGGTTTCTCCCAAAGTGTTAAATGTTGGTAATATGGTTTGTGAGATTATAGATAATTCTTTTTCTCCTGTCTTTGAAAAAATTTTTTTAACTTCTTCATAGGGAACTCATACTGTATTGATTTTAAGCTGCAAAGATTTAATTCTGAGTAATATTTCAAGTTTATTGTAAAAATTATTTTTCTAAAAATTGCATAATATTTGAAAGTATTTTCAAGTTAGATTGAGTCTCCTAGAGTTTTTTGGTTTTGAACTTAGCTCCAATGGCTCTGACTTGCTCACATAAAATAAGCGGTCAGTGTCATTAGCATTCTTCTTGGCCATGAGGCCTGATCTGCCCCAGATAAACAGCCTAAAAGTCTATTTATATCCTGCTGCTGGTTATTCTTGAGAATTATGCTTTGACTTACAAAGCTGTGAGTTTTATTTTGGAGGAAAATTTATACTGAAAGCTGAGCAATTTTTGAGAAACTCAACTAGAAAGAGAAAAGTATTCATATAAATTGTATTTCAGTCTGTGAGAGCAGTATGTTCTCCTCACGGTTTTCTGTAACTATAAAGTTTGCTCTTGTTTTCAGGTCCACAGCATCGCTGTCTGTTGGAGAAGGCACCAGTGTCAGAGCCTCTGTCAGAACAGCAGCAGATGATAGCAAACCTAAAGCCACGTGTGCATCTAAAGACAGTTGGCATGGGTAAGAGCTTCTTGTTGCAGAAGATTTTTATCCCAGTACCTTAAAATATTACTGAATTTCCTCTCCTGTGCATCTAGGAAAGAATGTGTTAGGTGTGGAACCTTAAGATCCCTCAGAATGGCTTTGTCTTCAAGTCTGTTTTACCTGGAATTAATAGCACTAACCCAGT